CGGGTTGCGTTCCTGAGCACAGCTCCATCTTCCCGTGTGAAAGGAGCGGATTAGGAGCTCCTGCAAAATGATACGACCTTACGAAAGGAGGCGGACTTGGTCCAAAGCCACTGGGTGGTGGTGTATTATTCTCTTAATGGAGAAGAAAGGAGCAAATCTGGTCTCATTGACACAGCTGCCAGATCACCTTGGCTTAGAGTCAGCTTATGCTAAATTGTTCTTTCGGGTTCTCAGGCGCAGCCGTATCAGGGCAATATCTAGGTTGCAAACACACCATGGGAAATGTTCACCTGCTAATAACAGCAGACCAGATTTGGGTCTGTACCGCTGGAGGTCCCAGTTCAGGGAGAAAGGGAGGCAACTTCCACAGCTCCTAGTCAGGAGCAGCTGTTTTTTGGCGTGGTACAATCTCGGGCTGCCTTAACATCAACTCCAGCCTCAGCAGCATTTTAGAGGGTTACAGACTTGCTGGAGCAGAAGTGTGGCCCCCATTTGCGGTTCTCGCCAGCTGCTGTAACCCCGTTCCAGCACAGAAAACCTTTCCTTTTGAGGGAGCTGAAAGGTGGGGATGTGGTCTCACACTGATGTTACTCTTAACGGCAAAAAAGTACACATTTGCTAGATACCCATCTTGAGCCCCTAGGCCGAAGCAACAAAATATGAAGAACAACTTCAGAAGGGCCCTGAAATGGTTTCCCTTCATTTTTGGCAGCAGAAAGATTCCTATAGTACTTCTCCTATACAAATATGCGTAAGGCAATCATTAAAATTGATCTTAACTTTTTTATTTATAAATTGGTTGGCCTTACAGAGGAAAGCTCTATCCAGAGAGGGGAACAGGTATGCCAGCACACCCACTGAGCTTCTGGTAACTCCTTTGGGGGTTTGTTTTGCATTACCCTGTTTCTATATCTCAAGATATTTGTCTCTATTGCTCTACCCCAAATCCTTCCTCAGCATGGTGCTCTGCAGAGCTGGAAATGAGGGATATCTTGGAGCACCGAGAGCTCACGTCTGCATCCATTTTCTTTAAATTTAGATGGACGCAGTAGCATCTGAGCCTTTATGCTTATTGCTTTTATCTGCAATTTCAGAACTGTCCCAAACAATCTCTCCTCCCAGCCATTACTCCCAAATTACTGACACAGTTTGTAATTTACTATTACAGTTTTGACAACTGATTTTCCCCAAACATATTGAGCTCCTTCTCCTCTTCCCAAACCCCAGACACACAGGAAATGGAAAATAGCAGGCAAATAGCAGTCAAAGCTTTGCGGCCCAGTCTATCAAATCAGCACTGTTGCTACAACCAGAATTTTTAAACTGGAATTGCCAGAGCTCGGTCCTTTTCCCGCTAGCCACCTGAACGTGCTTGTGTGCGTGTGTGCGAGGGAGTGCGAGCGTGGGCACGTGTGGGTTTGCCCACCTCCTCTGCAACCGTCTCTGCTGCAGTTTGTTTCAGCAAACTGAGCACCTGGCTAAAGCCCCCTATTCTGGATTTCTCCGTCTAATCATTGGCAAGGGCAGAGCTGTTAGGAACTAGACTCACTAACCGGCTTTTTATTTCTGTGGTCAGAGGTTGTCAGGACAGGGAAGAGGAAACTGCCAACTATTTCTCTTCCATACAATCTGTGTCTTTTAACACTGATATAGGAGGTGAGGGGGAAACCTAAAGAGAAGAAAATGAACCTGCTCTTCATCCCAGCTATAGTGACTGTCCCCACCCCAACTCCTCATAAGCAGAACCTGGTATTTCAAACCATTCTGATAGAAAAGCATAAACACACCATCTAACGAAGAAATCTTGTCAAACGTGCAAAAGCCAATAGTACATCCGGGATCAAAGTAACGATAGTGTCACCCAAGACATCAGTGAGATGAGAAGCAGCTTCTGCCCCAGAGACTCTGCGGAGACGACTCTCTTGTAACAGATGGGAAGACAGGTCTGTATGAAATGCGAACTGCAGTGATGACTTTTCATTGCACTGCCTAGAACTTGCTGAGTAAATTGATTATCAGTAATGAAGCAGCGTTAATTTGGGCTCTTCACCCATAACTTCCCCCCGAGAACGGCGACATTTCACCTTCCATCTTACTGATGTGCAGGTTTCCTTAATCTCTGCCAGATTGGCTTTTGCCCTAGGGCACAGAAGGGGCAACAATTTGCTTCCTTAGCAATCCGGGGGGAAAGGGAAGGGATTTGTGAGGAACAGAGGATCGCTGAGTCCTTCAGTCCGAGGGGAACACAGGGAAGGGGTGATTCGTGTCCTAGCTTGGGACACAGTAAGCACAGACCTGTGTCTGAGAGATGTTGGAGACATACAGCGCTGTGGCAAGGCTGGTCTGGCTGTTCACTCTCACCAGCTGCTCTTTATATAATTAGCTCTAGGATTAGGTGCTTCCTAAAAGGCAGATACCTATATTAAATATCCCTGTCTCTGCCTAATCACTGCAGGATCCAAGCCTGCGGCCTCCTGCATAAATACGTAACTCCAACCCCGGTGCTCAGCAAAAGCAAGGGTGAAGTTTCCTCTTCTTAGTTCTGAACAGCCACAGTTTACATCCTGGCACCGAATAGGGCAAGATTCTCCTCTAACAGCTGGGCCAGTAGCTGGGGGACTTCCACTTTGTGGAAGCCACGAATCCTTGTTTGCCCTGCTGCCTGCCGGGTTCCTCCTCTCCCCACCTCTTGAAACACCAACCCCGGGTCCTCCTGTGCCGCGCAGAGCCGTGCATCGCCTCATCCACCTCCAAATGAAGGAAGAGGCATCGCCCAGGGTGTGCCTGGCGCTGCGCTGGAGCAGGGCCTCAGCACTGCCCCTTCTCGGCACCCCGGCCCGGCTCCGCGGAGGCAGCCTCTAACACCTGCGGGACGGGGCGCTCGGTGCTGCCGCCCCGAGTTCTGCACAGAGGCCTTAGCTCTGCAGCATCACAGCCCCGCACAGCTCCCTCTCCGAGGCCTGTGCTAACTACGAGGAATTTTCATTTGCGGCAGCCCCGAGTAAAGCCTGGGCTGGATTTCCCGAACGCAGTGGTGCTGTCGAGAGCACAGCGGGGAGGCTCTAACTGCCCCTCTGGCTGCTTTTGGGTGCTCGCTCCCAGCCCCTCTGCCGCCTGCATAAGGGAAAAAATCCTTCCAAGGGCCAGGGAAAATTCATGGAAAAATAGCCACCTTCACCCCTTAGCTCCCTGCCTGCCTGAGGCTGCTTAAGCGATCATGTTTCATGTGGACAGGGAAACGTCCCTCTGGCTTCAGGGGGCTTCCCTGGTGAGGCTAACGGATTACCGACATCCCTGCCTGGCGCTGCGGCAGGGAAGGACAGGACGAGCCGCTCTCCCTGCCCCGCGTCCCAGGGGCTCCGGTGGCGCTGCCAGCCGGGCCGGGCGCCCTCGGGGTGCCCTCTGCTGGGGCTGGCACTGCTCGACCCGGCGCTGCCCGCGGCGGCCCCCGCCATCCCGGCGGGGAAACTGCCCTGCGCCCAGCACCCGCGCTGAGCCCCGCCAGCCCGCCCTGGGCTGCCGATCCGCAGGAAGAGTCAGAGCCAGAGCCCCCTGCCCTGAAACACAGAACAAGGAAGTACTGGATCATAGAAAAATTTTCTGTCAAAATAGATTATTTTTACGGAGCTGGTTAGAGAAGTCTCACAAGCATCAGACCCTGCCCAATACCCCTGAGACCTCCCGTAGTCTGCATGGGGTTAAATTAAAAGAAATACAAGGGCTAAATTAAAAAGAAAAAGAAAAAAAAATGGGGCCCGTTCATGCTGCTCTATGTAGTATAGTGGTAGAAGGCTTGAACAAACAGTCCTAACGGCTTCCTGGGGATCTCACTGGGGCTGGGATTTAAGGCAATTACATTAACACAGGCCTACAAAGAGGGACCCCTTCAGAAGAAGGTATAATATCCACAGCACCACAAGGCCGGCAAGTTCCCCGGCTCCATGATTCCCATGTAAGCTGGTCACAAGGGAGCAGCAGCAAAGACTGCTAGCAGTTGTCAGGAAGGAATGCAATTCCATGGATACTTCGGAAAACCTAAGTGATTCACGGGGGGGTTATACCCGGCTCTGACGCAGCCAGCACTGCTAGGGGACCACTGCTCTCTGCAGCAGGACGGCACCCAAACAGCTCTGCAGAACACGGCAGGGCAGTTCTGCTGGCGCAACGCATGAGGTCGGGAAACACTCCCAGTTCTAGTGGGTTTTTTTGTGCTTTCTTTCTGTCTTCCCCCCACCCTTTCCTTCTCGTAGCTGCCAGATTGGAGGGACAGCTTGTGCCGCCTCTCAGAGCTGCTGAATTACCGTCAGGTGAGGAAAGGCAGCGCAGTGCAGCAAAACGCTCCCGTGCCCCTGCTCGCGCCCTGGCAGAGGGGGCTGCTCGCGCCCACGCGCACCCTGTCCTCCTGCCGCCGCCGCGGGCGCAGCCCAACAAGCCCTGTCCTTCGTAGGGTGCCGCACGCCTACAGCACAACACAGCATCCAAGCACAGCGAGAAAAATAAATGAGACCACGAGGCCACACATCCGGTTCAGGTCCTGGTAGAAACCCACAATGATCGCGCGCAAACTGATTATTTTTCCCCTATGTTTCCTTCTGAAACACGCGAACACCTACAACAGGCGGGCCCTGGCCAGGCCCTTGCCGAGGCCGGTTGCAGCCCGCACAAGCCTGCACCCTCGCCCCGGGCAGGCCGGCCTAGGGCCGAGGCGGCCCCATAGGCGCCCAGGCTGGAGGCCGGGCAGGGAACAGGGCGCAGCGCGGCGCGCTCCGGCCACCAGAGCGGCCGGCGAAGGCCTCC